CCTCCTGACCCTGCCTTGGCACAGAGAATGGGAGGCCTGCAATGACTGATTTGGGTGATCATTTGCATAAAGCGTGCCAGTCTCTGCATCCAACTCGGGTGGGATCTTCTCTCCAGGGATTGGCGTGAGCATGACCATCACAGCTCCGTACAGTGTGGTAACACCGGACCGTGCATCTTGGTAAGACACTATTTGCTCCGGTCTCCGACAAGCCTCCTGCTCCTCCCATCTGCCACGGCCCCAGCTTCGTTTCGGAAATCAAGCAACTAGAGGCACCTCCTCCTTTGACACCCACCTCCACTCGTTACCCCAAAACCTGGGCTCACATCCCGCTCCTCTGCTGCCCTCGGCCACGTCACTTTCCTGCTACGTGCCTCCATCTTCCCCTCTCTGAAATGGGCCAAGGCGAGCTGCCGCACGCGCACGGAGCAGCCCAAAGGCCCCGCCTACGTGATCAATGACACCACCTCGTCCCGCCCCCCTGCGAGTCGCCCCGCCTCGGCGCTCGCGCACGCGCAGTAGGCAGCGGCCTGCGCCGGGATTAGCCGCTTGAGTGCGAGCGGGTGGCCGCTGACCCTTCCCGCCGGCGGACTCGGCCGCCCGGCTCCAGCGTGAGTCCCGCGCGACCTCCCCCTACGCGAGCGGGGCCCTGCTGCTATCACCCGGGGCGGGAGAGGGGATGGTTTAACCCTTGTGCGCGGAGCCCCCGCAGCGTGGTACGGTCCGCCCCCCCCCCGCGGGGGAATAGGCTCGCCCGGCAGAGGGGCTGCGGTGGGATCCCTCCGCCCAGCCCCCCTCCCTGCCTCCCCGCAGGGCCGCCATGAGCCTCTTCGGATCCACCTCGGGCTTCGGCACCGGCGGCACCAGCATGTTCGGCAGCACCGCCGCGGACAACCACAACCCCATGAAGGTAGGGTGGCCGGCGCGCCTGCTCCTCCCCTTGGCAGGGGCACGTCAACCCTCCTACGAGATCAGTCAACTCCAGTGCTCAAAACGCGCCATCGCTTTTGAAGATGCAGATTTTGTTTCCAGGATACCGTTGATGAGACCAGCTAAGAAATTAGCTTTTTGTGTGTGTGTGTGTGTGTGTGTGCACGCGCGAGCTTTTGGGCGGACATGCCCCATTTTCAGGCTTGGGAAATTAAAAGGGTAGAAAATCAACGGCATTTTGCACAGAGGGAACTGAAGGCGGGGTGCCTGTTCCTCTGCAGCGTGTGCGAAACACGAGTCATTTGCGGAAAGTCCAAACCCACCCGTGGGTTTGCTGTCACCGCTTTCTTCGGACAACTTGCCTTGAAATAAAAGGCGTTGACTTTGAGGGCCCGGTTCTCACGCACTCGTTTTCTGACTTATAGTGGAGGATGTTTCGTAGATTTCATAGACGTTAGGGCTGGAGGGGACCTTGGGAGATCATCGAGTCTGGCCCCCTGCCCCAGGGGCAGAAAGTCAGCTAGGGCAAAGGATCCCATCAAGATATGTGTTCAAACGTTTCTTAAAAGAGCCCAGAGTAGGGGCTTGCTCTGCTTCTGGGGGGAGTCTGTTCCAGGCCTTGGGGATCAGATAGTAAAGAGGTTTTTCCTTGAGTACAGCCTAAAACGGTCTTGGAGGAGTCTGTAACTGTTGGACCTTGAAATTCCTTCGGGTGCTCTGGCGAACAGGCGTTCCCCCAGATCCTGATGCACACGTACTTATAGGCAGCCGCCAGATCACCCCTGAGCCTGCGCTTCTTCAGGCTGAAGAGTCTCATGGCTCTCAGCCTCTCCTCATAAGGGCTATTCTCCTGCCCTCTGATCATGCACGTGGCTCTCCTCTGCAAGCTTCTCCACATCCTTTTTTAAATTGTGGGGCCCCAAATTGGATGCAGTACTTCAGCTGTGGCCTTACCAAGGCCAGGTGCAGCGGGAGAATGACGTCCTGGGATTTGCTTGAGAAGCATCTGTGGATGCAAGTCAGAGTTTTGTTTACTTTACCAGCTACGAGTTTTTTAATTTATAAACTAAATTAAAAGATTTATTTGCATTTTTTTCAGTGTACGATTGTTTTCTAGCAAATACTGTAATTTTGAGCTTCCCATATGATAATTCATATGTAAGATCTGGCAATGCTGCTGCCTCCTTCCCTGTTACTGAGAGCTGGCTCAGAGAGTATCTGTCTTCCTGCCCCTGCCAGCTGGACCAGGAAGAGGTTTGTAATCGTACAGGATGGGTCCATTTTCATGTCCACCTTAAATGGCACAGTCTGGTTCACCATCCTGACTGGCATGCTGTGCTGAGGCATGACAAGCTCTTATGCTCCCAACAAACCCTGGCACCCCTAATAGCATTGAGATGTGGTTCATAAGCATATTTCCCTTAGCATAGATTAGCCATGGTGGTCGTTATGGCAGTCCAATTGGGACAGCATGTTATTTCTGGGAACATAATGGCCCTGACCTTTCAGACAAGGTAGGTACGCAGATGTGTGTGCTGTTGTTTGAATTATGGGTGCAGACAGATGTGACAATTTTCACCTGAAAACAGTTTATAGCTGTGATCAAACACAAGTACACAGCTACAAACTGCTTCAAAAATGGCTGATTAGGTGAAAATCTGAACCCTCACTGCATGAGGTATCAGGTAAAGATATTTCAAAATGGAGCGTCTTCTGTAACTTGTGTCTGTGCTGCCTCCCAGCCTGTCGCTGTTTTCAGAATGGGAGGAGGGAAAGGGAGCAGAAGGAGTTAAATCTGGGGGGCTTTCAGCCCCCCTGGAGGGTGGGGCAGGTGTATTTGAGCCACTTGCAGGTGGGGTGCTCCAGTTTACCCACCCTTCAGCCCCAGCTGGGGAGCCCCAAGAATGAGCTCCCTCTACTGCCTTTCCTCCCTCCCCTTTTGAAAGCAATGGGCCCTGGCGGAGGACCTGGCTGCAGGCTCGCAGCCTACAGCTAGATTTCCCTTCACCCCGCAGAACCAACAGTAAACTTCTGTTTGGTCCAGGGTAATGCTATAACTCAGAATACTTTTCGGAAATTGTTCTGAGTTATAGCTGGGAACTGCACTTTTGTCTGCATCCTATGGGCACATCCATACAAGCTTGGAGACGAGAAGCAGCAGTGCACCTTGGTCCAGGGAATGCGTGTACCACATGTGCTTTGGTGCACAGCAAGTTACCCTGGGTGTGGTAGGGGAGCCTTACCTGGGGGCCTTTCGGGGCTGCAACAGCTGCAGTTCTGCATGGAGCCTGGTCAGCAGCCGGAGCATAGTTCAGGCAGCCTGGCTCCACTTTTGAGTAGCGCACGCTGCCTGTGCACGCACTGCTTCTCTCCTTTTTTCCGCTCCACAGGCTTTTTTGACCCCTGAATATCCAGTGGTCAAAAAAAAATCCCAGAAAGAAAAAGTGAAGTAGAGCACATGTGTGCCATTGCAGTGTGAAAAACACCTGACTGTGCGGTGTGTGGCACCCCAAACGTGTTTGGGGTGCCACATACTGTATGGCTGCTCTCATCTGGATGTGGCCTGTATTTGTCCAAAATGGATTATATTCATGCTGCTGAATGGGTGGCTGTTTTGTGCACACCTGTGCAAGTTGCATGTGAAAGGGCATTGAGACGGAAGGCAAAGAGGAGCAGGGAACTATTGCAGCAACCTTGTTAATCTGTGCACAAGTGATTTCTTCCTCTTGATAACTTCTGCATTGCATTAACGTGTTTCAGTTGTATCTGTCAAAGTAAAATCAAGGTGTATTTTATTGTCAGTTTCTGTATTAATTTTCAGGTGTGCATGTATAAAATTCAGTAGTTCACAGTATATCTTTGAGTCATTGAGCAAATATTTCTTCAGTGTATCGATATGTGTAACTCTTTCTTTTACAGGATATTGAAGTTACATCTCCACCTGATGACAGCATTTCTTGTTTAGCTTTCAGCCCCCCAACATTGCCGGGTAACTTCCTTATTGCAGGATCCTGGGCAAACGATGTAAGTACTGAATGCCAGAACAGCAAAAGGATTAAGACAACTGATGTGGGAACTAGGTGGAATTTAGATGCAAAGTTGCAAAAGAGTAATCTTGAAAATGCACTCTACCAGCCAAGGTTCCTCGACATGTGAAGCACAGCAGCACTACTTCCAGGTTGTCAGGGCTGAGCAGTTCAGTGTCTCCCCCATTCCTGAGCCATTTGGGATCCTCAACTTAGCTATTTTTCAGCTTGTCAGTCAAGGGACCCCAGTCCAGTAGGTTTTCAATGAGTAGCAGTTGTGTCATTTATTATTGTAAGCCTTTCTTCTCTTACCTGCATCCTCCTCTCTCTTCATATCTATTAAAATATGAATTTTTTGTGCTAAATTAAGGGTCAGATTTTCAAGGAACAGGATGTGCTTCGTTTCTGTAACACAATTATGCATTCTTGGTACTCCAGATTAATAATATTTTAATACATCTATATCTATGACTCTTTAGGTTCGGTGTTGGGAAGTTCAAGATAGTGGACAAACAATTCCGAAGGCTCAGCAGATGCACACAGGGCCTGTGCTAGACGTGTGTTGGAGTGATGTATGTTCTTCTTTTCAAAAAGTCTCTATCATCAAGGAAATCTATAGCAGTAAAGCCCAAGTATCTTGCATGTGCATCAATTTAAAATGTAGATGCAATCATAGAATGTAACAGACTTCTGTCATATAAAACAAAACGAAGTTTGCTGGGTTAATTTGGACTTCAGATATGTGCAGATGGAATAGTAGTTTTAAGATGGTGCTAGTGTACAGTTTCATTGTTTTGGTTGAATTCGTTGTTTACATTGTGTGTGTTTTCCGTTATTAGCTGCTTGTTTCAATTTGGTAAGAATTCTACAAAAACAAGATTAGTTTTCTGTCAGTGTTTAAAATGATACGGTCCTCATCTGAACAGATAAAAATATCATTAACTTCTCATATACAAGATTTGTAAATGTTGTGGGAATGGCTTATTAACAAGGTCTGTTTGGTTGGGGGTGTCTTAAGAGTGCCGCTTATAAGATGATATTTTACATATCTAATTTGAGTATATCAATTCTGTGTGTCCACTCTGCGATTAGAAGAAGCAAAATGGAAGTTATTACAGAAATACTTATGACTGAAATGTAATTCTGGTCTGCTGTTTGTTTGTAACAGTCCATTCAGATGTATGAAAGTTTCAGTGTTTTAGACTGGAGCAGCTCTGCCCACTTTGCTCCTGCCTGTAGTTCAGCAACCCTCCCACTGCAAGGAGGCTTGTGCTCCCCGGACATAATCACAGGGGCTGCTGCCCCTGTAAGTGTCCCTCCCCGCTCACTGCTCCAGCATCAGGGGTGGGGGCCCGGCCAGATGCTGGCCAGGATTGCCCCCTGAGGCAAAGGGGGCAGGAAGGGAAAGGGTTTATTCCCCCTCCCTCTCCTGCCCCCTGGCACCCCAGCTGGGGTCTGCCTGGCCAGGAATGAGAGGCAGCGGCCAGGGTTGGCAGACCCCAGCTGTGGTCTCCCAGTGGGAGAGGGGACAGAGCGGGGAATAAATCCCGTCCCTGCCCCTTTCACCTCATGGGGGCCACGTAGGGTCAATGTCTGGCCATGCCCGTGCCCCTGTTCCAGCTATGGAGCAGGGGGACGGAGCCATCTCTGCTTTCTGGAGCAGACAGCACAGCCCAGCCCAGGCCTGAAAGACATGTTGGGATGCTGGGGGGACTTGGATTTAACTTGAACCAGGAAGGGGTCTGGGACAGAAATTCCATAAACTGGTTTGACCTCAATCAGTTAAGTCTGATACTACATTCGACCAGGTTTATCTTAAACTAGTTCCAGCCATTTTGAAACAGGTTTATGTGCACTGAACTTTTGTTCTGTTACATGTTTAAACCAGTTGCCGATCACTTAAACCAGTTTATATGTGACTTCTGTCCCTAGCCTTAATGGGTACTGGGTATTGCAGACATTAAACTTCGAACTTTGTGTGTGTGTGAAACTTTGAATGACTTTCTTTTTTAGGATGGGAGTAAAGTATTTACTGCTTCCTGTGACAAAACTGCCAAAATGTGGGATCTCAACAGTAATCAAGCCATCCAGATTGCACAAGTAAGTACTCTTCAATCTGTTTACCTGCAAAGGGAGAGTCACTAACACCTTTTTTAATAATAGAAAAACATAATAATAATAATAAATTCTAATAGTGAATGAATATATCACTCAACTTTTTAGCTGACCTTACTAAATGAAGAATCGTGTAAGTGGGGTGCCTGTCATAATGCTAGATAAATTTTAGTATGATTGCTGGAATGCAGGCATTGCAAATCTCACTCTAGGCAAAAGCCCCATATAGCTCGTGTGAGACAGAGCTCCCTTGGTGGTTCCTGCAAAAATGTCCCGCTGCAGTCTAATTCCATTTTTGGTTACCCAGTGCTGTTGCTGCTCCTCTTGCTGTCCTTGTTTCAGTTACTCACTCCCCACTGTTGCTTTTCTTTTGTTTCCCAGGTGTTCAGTCTTTTATTTTATTGAGATTTAGCCCATGTGCTAAGGTGCTAGGAGGACAGGTTCTTCTGTAATTGAGTTCCTTTCCATAAAGGGAACAACTTCGTGGGTGTAGTGTTAATAGTCAAGATTCTAACACTTATGTTTAACCTCTGTGCAAATGTTTTGTCTTAGTAGTTTAACATGATTAAAATAATGTCTGTTTTTGTTTGTACCAACAAGAAGTAAATATGTTTACTCTTTCCATTATAGTTTAGTTACGGTGAAGCAATTCAGGTTTTAATCCTTGATTAGAAATTTTTAGCAATCAATAGTAGGAAAGAAATATTTATTGCAATTGCCAACACACAAAGGCACAAATGAAGTTACTTTCCTTAACTTAATACGTGTTGTTGCCCCTGAACACTTTTACTATAGTGATGAGTTTTTAGAAAAACACTTTCTGTATTCTGTGCATGCTGAACACCTCCCATTTCAGTAAAGGAGCTGAATTCTTCTAAGTCTCATTTGATGGTTCTGTCATTTTAAAGTTTTCACAGTACAATACAGTCCTGATCTGTAGTAGAGATTTTGCAGCATTGTGGCAGTGGTGATAACGTACGTAAACAAACTAGAGGTATGCACAACCAGAATGTTATTCCATGAAGCCATAAAGAGGAAGAGATGTAAGCTGTTGTGTTAAAAAATGTAGATGCATGTGTTTTTTGTGTCTGTTTTCAGCATGATGCCCCTGTTAAAACAATCCATTGGATTAAAGCACCAAACTACAACTGTGTAATGACAGGAAGTTGGGATAAAACTTTAAAGGTATGATTGCATCAGAGCAAATGGTTTTGTACCACAGTATTCTCAGTACTATGTAAAATGGGAATGTGTTAAATAAATGTTTCTAGAGTATGCTAATTTGAAAGATTAACTGCAGTGAACGTTTCTAGCCCTGAGCTAAGCAAATGGAACTGTTCTATCTGACTCTTGTCAGGGGTGAAACAATTTGGAATAGGATTTCTTGTGCTAACTAATCGATCAGTTTTACTATTGCATATGTGTATGGTGTATTTGGAGAAGTGTCTGATGAGAGATCTTATTTTAAATTCTTTCGTTTCTTGGTTTCTTTAGTTCTGGGATACACGATCACCAACACCTATGATGACCTTACAACTGCCTGAAAGATGTTACTGTGCTGATGTGGTAAGCGAACAAATGCGGGTATTTGGATATGTGCCCATTAAATGGTTTGAATCCAGCCCAGAGTTGTATTAAATAAAAGTTCTGCATGTCAAAATGGCACAGTGTTATTTTGCTTTGTTTGAGAAGAAGTCTATATTTCTGCTGCCTTTGCTGTATCTTTTCTACATACAAAATAGCTTATAGTCTCCAGTCTCTCTCTCCCAGAACTAAAAACCTCATTCCTTTGATTTTTCTTATTTTGTTTTTCTTTTCTTATGGATTTGAAGGAGTTAAGTGGTTTGAAAGAGTTAGACATCTTTTTTGTGATAATGCCGTATTTGAGTCTCTTCGAGCATACTTCTCATACCTTCTCCAGGTATACCCAATGGCAGCAGTAGCCACTGCAGAAAGGGGCTTGATAGTTTATCAGCTAGAGAATCAGCCTTCTGAATTTAGAAGAATAGAATCTCCACTTAAACACCAGGTAAGTAATTACATTTATTATAAGCTCATTTGTGCAGTGTATCAGATGGTACTACAGACTTTTTTTTTTTTTAAATATAAAAAGACCAATATTATTTTTGATGCCATTCTTATAATTCTATGTAGTTTGTGCTTTGCTATAATTTTTGTTAACACAAAGATTTGTTTTGTGAAAAGAGAAAAAAAATGTTATCATTACTTAAAATTACTTCCTTTTTACCAGCCCAGATTTACTTTGCCTAAAATAATTTGAGTGGTTGTTCTTAAGGTTAGGATCCATTAAATACTTCCTTTTATCATAGTTATCTGATAAGCTATTTTGAAACGGATATTAAACAGTTTAATAGTGAACTTTAGTTTGGCATAATGGGGCAGATCTAGCAAGTATTTACATGCAGATTTGGTTGTTCTTCCTGATAGCACTCAGACTATACCTTTAACTTGACAGAACAGTAGGGAATTCAACAGCAAGTCATTATTCCAGAAATCAGGACTTGCTAGTGCTTTATTAGAATTAGTCTTTTCGTGTATAGTGGGGAGAACAAGATTTAAAGAAGTCTCTCCAAAGTCATCAGATCATCTACTTTACGTAAGTTTTGTGCACATGTAATGTTTTGTTGAAAGGAGAATTATGTGCGTCTAACATTTCTTCATTACGTATTAAAGTGTAAGATTCTAAAGTCACAGTGTTTTGAAAGGGGTTTGACTCACTTTTCAATGTTATACGTCCTTTTTTTAGTAGGTAATATATATGCAGCATTTTGTGTTCTCAGACACAGTGCTTAGAAAATCTGGTTCTCGGTCTCCTTTCTAAAATGCTCTGTATTTTCCTCAAATTCAGCATCGCTGTGTTGCTATTTTTAAAGACAAAGTCAACAAACCTACTGGATTCGCCCTTGGAAGTATTGAAGGAAGAGTAGCTATTCACTATATCAACCCCCCCAATCCGTAAGTAGTTTTTAAACGATGCAGTATTCGCTGCGTTCATTGAAATTAAGAAAATTTATAAAGAAATACTTTTCTTTTAAGAGCCAAAGATAACTTCACTTTTAAATGTCATCGCTCCAATGGAACAAACACATCAGCACCTCAGGATATTTATGCTGTAAGTATTCAGCCCATTTAACTTAATTATTTTCAATTAGTTAGAAGATATTTTTTCAGGTTGTATAATTTTATATCCAATCTATGATGAAGTTTTTGTTTTCTTGATCTTTTGTTGTGCCTAGAGACTTCTTCCTTTTATATTTAAAGGAAAAAAAAGTCACATGCAATAAAGAAAAAAGAGCACGTGGAATATTATGGACTTACAAAGAAATCCTTGCCTCTACTTTCTGTTAAACCTTTTTAAGATAAAACATTTAATATACCCATCTATATCTGTGGCTTTGTCATGGAAAAACCTACTGGTCCTTAAGGACTTATTAAGTACCAAGGGAGTTAACATGTTTTCTGTAATGGGAGTGCATATGTATAGCTGGTCCAAAACAACATGTGCTATTTGTGGGGTTTTTTAAAATCCTGTTTTAAAGCACTACAGAAAATCAACTAGCCTTAATCACATTATATTAATTTACATATAAAAGGCCTGGGTTCTCTGAGTATGCAGTGCATATACTGTGAAGTAGATGTGTCCCAGTTTATATAATTAGCTGTCTTACATAATCTTACACTATTCTGTAGGTAAATGGGATAGCATTTCATCCTGCCCATGGTACCCTTGCAACTGTAGGATCCGACGGTAGATTCAGCTTTTGGGATAAAGATGCACGAACAAAGCTAAAAACATCAGAACAACTAGATCAGCCAATATCTGCCTGTTGTTTCAACCACAATGGAAATATCTTTGCCTATGCTTCTAGTTATGACTGGTCTAAGGTAAGAAAGGTTATGTTTCTATTGGCAGTGGACATTTAAGACAACCATCATTCAGCAGGTCATTGCATATGAAGGTCTCGGAGACCTGTGCAGGTAATTGTGAAACATTGCAAGTGTAACTGAGGTTTTGGGATCACTGTAGTCAGCTTTCAGATGTAACAGGCAATATCAATGCAAAATTGTTTAGGCCAAGAAATTGTGGCCAGCTGAAGCTGTAGTGGGGATTTGGATAAACAGAACGTTACTTGATTTGGAAATTGTTTGACATGTGAGTGCTAACATACCTGCTTCTACGAGGAGTGCTGTGGGATTAGGAATGCATCAGTTTTAACTGCAGTGTAACAACTCTTCCAACTCCCCCCTCCACCCCCCCCCCCGACAAAACATGGGTTCCCAGTTTATTATGAAACCAGTGGATTTGCACTTTGTACTGAATATACAGTACCATTTGCTACAGCTTCTTGGCGATGGTTGAGATCTTTCCTCCGAGACCTGACTCAGAAGTAAGCCAGCCAGATGTACTAACTTGTCCTCTTGATTTTATTTTTTTTTAATGCAAACAAACCCTTAAAATTTCTATCAGTCCTTTTTTATATTATTAACTGGTTCTAGTAGGTTGACTTATAGGGCTGTGTGAAATGGAAGTGTTTCAGTTCAACCAGCGTTTTGACTTTTGTTTTGAGTCGAAATGGCTATTCCATTTTGTTCTATCGAAACGTTTTGCTGTTTCGACCCTGTTTCGGCATTTCGCCTGTAGGATATAACGGGAAGGTCGAAACAGGCTATAACTTTGTCATTTCTGGCCAGATTTGGATGAAACTTGCAGAAATGGTAGCCCCTTCTGAGGGCATGATGCGTGCCAAGTTTCAAGAAGGTAAGTGCATGGGCTTCAAAGAAACTGCACCCCAAAATCTTGAGAGCAAAACTCATGTCACGTGTGTGTGTTAAGCCACAGCAAGGTCAAAACTGCAGGCTTGCTAGCTGCTGCTGAGGTCACAAAGCTTGCCAAGTTTCAAGAAGATTGGTGCAGGGGGTTTGGGGGGACTGCACCCCATATTCTTGAAAGCAAAGCTCATGTCACATGTATGTGTTAAGCCACAGTGGGGTCAAAACCACAGGGTTGGTAGCCCCTGGTGAGGCCACAAAGCCTGCCAAGTTCCAAGAAGATCGGTGCAGGGGTTTGGGGGAAACTGCATCTCAAGCTGCGGACAAGCAAAAGTCGTGATGTGGGTGCTAGTGCAACTGTGTCTGTCTTGGGGCACAGTTGGGGGGGACTACTGCAGGCGTAGCTGCTAAGCTACTGTGTTACCAGTTACCAATTAATCATGATTCACTCAAGGACCAGCTCAATACACAGGACCTAGCTACTGCGTAACAACTTAACAAGTACAGATTAACACCTACAAAACCAGAACTAAGGAGAGGAAAGAATCAATACAAATAATTAACTGCCCCAAGACAGAGACAGTCAGTTGCACAACCACCCATGGCACGAGTTTTGCCTGTCAGCATCCAGGGGTGCAGGGCCCCAGAATTCCCCTGCACCGATCTCCTTGACAGCTGGCAGGCTTGGTGGCCGCAGCAGGGACTACCATCCCTGCAGCTTTCGTCCTGCTGCGTCTTAACACGCACAGTGTCACTCATGTCACAAGTTTTGCTTGTCTGCAGCTAGAGGTGCAGTTTCCCCCAAACCCCTGTACTTATCTCCTTGAAACTTGGCAGGCTTTGTGGCCTCAGCAGAGGCTAGCATTCCTGCAGTTTTGACCCTGCTGTGCCTTAACACATACACATTACACAAGTTTGGCTCTCAAGATCTTGGGGTGCAGCTGGGAGTAACAAGGAACAACGGCCATAAGTTAACTGAGAGTAGATTCAGGCTAGACATCAGGAGGCACTACTTCACAGTCAGGGCGGCTAGGAGCTGGAACCAACTTCCAAGGGAAGAGGTGCTCGCTTCTACCATGGGGGTCTTCAAAAGGAGGTTTGATAATCACCTAGCTGGGGTCATTTGATCCCAGCATCCTTTCCTGCCCATGGCAGGGGGTCGGACTTCATGATCTGCTTAGGTCCCTTCTGACCCTACCAACTGAACATGCGGCCAGTGCCCAGCCCCTGGAACACATGGCAGTCTTTCAAGACTCCCGTGTGCTCCAAAAGCTGGGAGCACCCCTCAGCTGATTGGGGTTCCCAACCAGGAAGTGCACCATGTGTTCCTGCAGCAGGGAGTCCTGGTCAGCAGATTGGAGCACATCAGGGAGCATAAGGAGACAAGCTTGCTACTTGCCAATACAGAGGGGTTGGGCTACCCCTGCACTGACAGCATGGCACAATGGGGTCTGATGTGGGGTCCCCCAGTTGCATCTACTGCCATTCACATGTGGCACAATATGTACATGGCAGGACATGCGATTGTTGGGATCTCACATCAGGTCCCATTGTGCCTTTACTTTAACATCTGTCAGGGGCCTAAATTTCAGTAGTGTATTTGCCATGTAAGGCATTGTCTCCTTTCTTGAGCCATTAGTCTGTTAGGTAAATGAAAGTCCATAACTTTTCAAATTGACACCATTGTATTGGTACAGTTGTATACGAGTGCCTGAATAAGAGAGATCCAGATGCTGAAACAGAGACATGTTGTCATTAATGAGTTAAAATCTACACACATCTGAAACAAGTTAATTGTGTTGGTGTTGCAATGGGTTTGCACTCTGAGTACTTTTGTATATGTGAGCATTGCTACCTTGATATATTTGTCTCGATAATACTTTTCCCATCCATTGTGCATGCAAACAACAGTAAGTATGTAAGTGTATGTAGGACTTCAACTTAAGTTTATGAAAATCAATTTGGCTCAAAAAGCAAAGAATGTAACGTGAAACTAGTTCTTTGTATAAAGTTTAGCTAAAAATAAGTAATGCTAAAAGTTGACTTTCAGAGAAAACTGTTTATAAATATAGTGCACATCTACTAGTAGTATTTCTCAAGAGTTACTTGGGAAGTTTGCTCTTTAAAGGTCTGTATTTTTAAAATGTAACCTCTTCCTAAATTTAACTGACAGGATGTTTGGCTTATTGTAACCTGATTCTTTTTTTTGTTTGCTTGTTTTTCTCTGAATTTAAATAAACGCAGCTAACTTTCTCCTCTTTCAGGGCCATGAATTTTATAATCCACAAAAGAAGAACTATATTTTTCTGCGTAATGCAGCAGAAGAGTTAAAGCCTAGGAATAAGAAGTAGTGAGTACAATCCTGACTGGTGTTACAATACTGCTCTTCTGCCATTTGTGCCCCTACAGTTGTCAGTCAATTTTGGATCACTAACATTTAGCAGGAACTATTTAAAAAAAAAAAAAAAAAATGATGCCAAGTGTATTGAGTTGCCGGAGAACATCTTTTGATTGTGTACAGGAGTGTCAGATAAGTGCATGATTTTGCCACAGTCTGTTATATTGCAGTAATATAATTGCTGCAGAATCCCTAAATTTCAAGACCTGCATTTCTGCTTCTAGAAATACAAGGTTATCTCTCCATAGTCTTTTACTAGTACTGTAATAAAATATGTTAATTGCAGTAGGTCTGGAAAAATTATACACATACTGTGCTTTTTGTAATCATTATGGAATTAGGAATAATTTGGAATTTAGGGTTTTCACTGGATTCTCATTTTAATACCGATGCAGTATCTACTGTATGCCAAGGAGAAATGCCTTGCAAAATCTCTTTCCTGCTCTTTCCTCCCCCCACCCCCAGCTTACCCCCCTTCAGATTTTTGGTAGTTGTGTAGGTGGCCAATAGTAGTGACAGAGACCCAAGATGGACTTGGTGGGCACTGTTCACATTCCCCATTCTCTAAAGGTGCCCTTTGGTCCCGACCTACAAACACCTTTGCTTGTCCCAGTTCTAAGTGAAGACTGCCAGTTGTGCCAAGTGGCATAGTTCAGCAATGTGAGCAAACCACTAAAGGGGGGAGAAGGTATGACCACAAAACTGACTTTCACTTGTGGCCTAAACTATTTTCTAATCGGTAGAGTTAAAAGGCTGATATTTTAACTCCCTGAACCACTGATTGCCCCGTAACATTTTTGGGCTTCAATAAGTTCTTTTGTATTTAATACCAGGTAGTTTATGGTACAGATGGGTTATATCCATAATTTAACAGTGCTGTGAAGCTAAGCAGTGTGAGGGGTTTTTTTTCCTGACTTAAATCTCCCACTGTTTACTTTTAACTGACTAGTTGTACACATGCCAAAGTTTTCTTTCTAGAGTTGAATGCTTATTCCTGTTAAGTATTATTTTAAAAACTAAAAATGGGGCTAGCATGTATAGAAAGACCTGTTTATTGTAAAAATTAAAAAATCTGTAAAACCATATGTTGTAACACTTGTGATTACTGATTCATGTTAAGTTTAAAATAAATTTTTTATTAAATGTTTTTGCATATTCAGTAGTTTCTTTGTGCTTTAATAACAATATATTAGACAGGTGTGTTTATGTTGCACTTCCAAAAGTGGTGTCTTGGCTTTTTGTTGCAATTTCAGGTTTAGCTTCTAAAAATAAAACAATATATGATGGGACAGAAAATATCCTGAGCTGGATTTCTAACTCAGTTGCCACTTACTGTTGCATTATGAATCATTCCCGTGGTTTTGATTTAAAAAACTAAGAGATGTAATGTTAAATATGAAAGCCTTTTGTTCTTATAGAATGAATCAAGTTCATAGCTATCACAACAGCCAAACACCTGACCAGTTGCATTGAGTACAAATGGATCATGCTATTATCAAAATCTCTAGCTTTGCTAGTTCATTCACACTAGTGTCAGTACTTAGGTATGCAGTGCTCATTAGAAGGTGCCAGGTCCTTCTACTCTGCACTTCTGTCTGGTCCTAGTTTTCAAGTGACACATTGGAGTAGTTTCTCACTTTTATTTTGCAATAGAGAGTTTCCATCTGTTCCAGCAATGACTGGTCATCCACTTTTAAAGTTCCTTTATGGTTTTGTTGAAAACTATTTTTAAGGTTGCTTGTGTGTTCTGGCTGTTTTGCTGTAATCTTTGGCTGCAAGCATGTTTTTCCAGTCAAAGAAATGTTATGAATACTGTACCAATAAGCCACTCATAAGCAAAAAGGTGAAGAGGGTGGAGTTTTTCTGGGGGAGGGAGGAGGTTGATAGTTTTATCTTGCCTTCTGGGACTAGGGTTAGGGTTTTCACTAGCAGTGAAAATTCCCTTTGCTTGGCTGCTTAGTTGCATTTGCATGTTAATTCGTTAAACATTCTATCAGCAGAGGCTCATAAATATTTAGCCATTGCACTTATTATTCAGGCTAATTTTAGAAAGAAACATTTTAATTACATATTTGGGCATTTTGTTATGCTGAATATGTTCAACTAGAAAGACAAAAAATCAGGCTTCAAACTGGCTTGTTTTCTATTACTTTGGTTAGTCTGTAAGGTGCAAATCTACCCTGCTTTCCACTTGATTTGAGACTGAGACGGCTAACTACATCTTTGTTTTCCATTACCCCAGTTAGAAAAATGCATTGACAATTTGTGGCTACTGTCTGAAGTGTTGTGGGTCATCTAGATTACTCACAGTAGGTTTTCTGCTTCATCAAAAGTCATGGAAAAACACGAGCTCTTATTCAGATATTTCTCCATGTTATGCATTCAGGAGACATGCAATCATTTTCAGTTTTGACTGGAGATGAATGCTTAGAACCTGCTGTTGTTGTCTCGGGGCCCATCTACACATTGCATCTATTGTGCAATTACCTGATTTAATTGCACCATTAATTTAGATTGACTACATGTGCAAATTAGCTATGCTACCTTAAAAGGACCAACCAGCTATAAAGTTATTGCTGGAAAATGTGTAATAACTTAAAGCTGGATGAAAACCAGCTATAAATTTGCATGTGGCCTGTACCCCTGCGACTTGGAGATTACAGCTTCCAAGTGGGATGCTGTTGGGGCTGGAAATTGTCAGCTGTAGGACTCACAGCTGCAGGTGCTTACTCTTTGCCTGGAGGGGGGGAGCAGGATTCAGGGCTGTCCCATACCAGCAATAAGGTGTGATGGGATCTTATGCTGGATCCCACAATCGTGCCTCCTGCAACATACACGTAGCAGGCAGGAGGCACAATTGTGTGGATCACACATTGGATCCCATTGCACCTTTACCTGCATGTGTAAAGGAGGCCTTAGACATTTAAACTTTATCTTGATGTATAAAATTCACCTTTTTAAAGAATGACTCTTGTTTTAAATTCCTCAAATTCTACCAGAAGAAATATCGTTAGGTACAAAAGGCTGCCCAATTAAGACAAATAATTTCAGATTGGAAGGCTGGAAGGGACCTCAGAAGATCATTGGGTCCCGGTCCCTGCACCAAGCAGGAAAGATAACTGGGGGTCAGGTGACCCCAGCAAGGCAGCTGTCCAGTCTCCCCTTGAAGATTTCCAGGGTAGGAGATTGCACCACCTCTGGAGGGAGTTTATTTCACCGTCTGGACAGTGGACACCATGAAGCTTTTCTTAGTGTTAAGCCTGAAATGGTCTTCCAGGAGTTTGTGGCCATTACTCCTGGTTTTCCCCTCGGGTGCCCTGATGAACAGTTGCAGCCTTTCCTCATATGGCTTGCCTTTTAAGACTGATCATACAGATGGCTCTTCTTTGGACTCTCTCAAGCTTGTCCATATCCTTGTTAAAGTGCGGTGCCCAGAACTGGATGCAGTACTCCAGCTGCGGTCTCACCAGTGCAGAGTAGAGCAGAAGAATCACCTTGGTTTTGCTGGAGAGGCATCAGTTGTTGCATGGCAGAGTTTTATTTGCCCTACTGGCTACAGCATCACGCTGCCCACTGATATTCATACTGTGGTCTATTATTACCTCCAGGTCCCTTTCATTCGTGGTGCTGGTCAGTTTGGTGCCACCAAGCCTGTAGGTGTGTAGAAGGTTGCTTGTCCTGAGGTGGAGCACTTTGCATTTCTCAACATTGAACTTCATCAGATTCCAGTTTGCCCAACCTGCTAGCCTGTCTAGGTTCGCCTGTAACTGTAGCCTATCTTCAAACATGACCACACTTCCCTATAACGTGGTGTCGTCCGCGAACCTGCCCAGTGAGCTCTTCACCCCCACATTCAAATCATTAATAAAGATGTTGAAAAGTACTGGACTGAGCACCGACCCCTGCGGGACACTGCTGCCTACTTCTCACCAGGACAACATGTGTCCATTCACTATGACTCTGGGTCGTATCCTGCAGCCAGTTTCTTACCCACCTGACTGTCTTGGAGTTAAGCCAAAATTCTCCAATTTTCTTGCGAAGACATCATGGGATACTAGATCAAAGGCCTTTTGGAAGTCTAGGTATACAATGTCAACTTGCACTCTTGTGTCCAGGTGGCGAGTTACCTGGTCATAAAAGGAGATGAAGTTGGTAAGGCAAGACTTACCCACGACGAAGCCATGCTGGCTGTCATTCAGAATCGGAACTTCTGCAACCTTCTTGCAGTTAGACTCCTTGATGAACTTTTGTAGGATTTTCCCTAGGATGGAAGTTACACTGATTTGAAGGGAAAATTTGAGGGGGAAAAAAGCTATAAAAACTAGGGGATGGACTATATATGGAAAATCTATCTACCTGTTGCCATAGAAAGAGGTTGTTAAAGTAGCTTTGTAAAAATGAAACAGTTGGCATAAAAACTTCACAGGCTTGCTTTCTGTTCTACCTATATTTTACGTGACTTCCCTATACAAATAGCTACTTGGTTCACGCAAATGAAATATTTGGCATACTAAAATGCATAGCTATTCAATTCACATGTGAAATCGTAGCAACTGGGCAAATTAGTTTGTGTATTTTGCAGATTCAGTTTTATGCCAAATTTTTTTTAAAGGTTGGTTTTTGGTAGGGTGATATGTACACAAGAAGTTCGTGACAGTGTAAAATATTGAAAGGGTATCATGAGCTATCTGTAATGATTACACTTGAAGTACCAAAGCAGTATTCCTGTACAAGGGATGTAGACTAATGGTGTCAAACATGCTGGCAGTAGAGCCAGAGAGATATTTATATGAACCTCACGTTGGTGATTGCACTGAAGTGCAAGTTGCCTCCTAGGAAGTATGACAGTACCTGAATGCTGTAAATTAGAGCTGGTCTTAAAACTACCAATTTTTTCCAGTATCTGAATTTCTCATGAGAATTTTTTATCTTTTCAGTGAAAAAAAAAAATGTCTACGGGAGGCCAAACAGCTTAGCAAAAGAAAATTGTTTGCCCCTCTCTGGTCCCTTCTCACCTCCTTGCATATTGACTAACTTGATTTTGCCCAGAAGGTTTGCCAACAAAGGGAAAATGACTAGGGTCGCACTCCTGGGTCCAAGTTTGATCTTGGAAGTCTTGTGCCCCATAATTGCTTTGCTGAAATTTCACATTGTTAGTCCTGGTTCAGCTCTGCCCTTGTTCAGGAGCTCTAACCAGTGGCAACATAGTGCTAGTAACGACAAGGCATTAGGCAGCTGCTTATTTTAAGGAACGATATCAAACCCTGCTCAAAAAAATCTGTGCCCTACAGTGCTTAAAATTATAGTAGTCATTTCATCTTCTATCTAATAATTCTCTCACTGTTGTTGCTAGTGGAGTTGAGCCAGTATTAGCAGCAGAAAGTTGGTCTTGTTCTTTCACTTCTGCCTCTGGCTAGATGTGGTTAAAGGCTATCAAGGTAAAATATCAATTGGGTATGAAATCTGTTCCCAGCCACCCAGTTCTTTTCTTTAGTAGTCTTTTAAACACTGAGATTTTGGAAATTTCATAATTGTATGGTCATTCTGAATAAATTATTTATTTAAAGTATTTCTACATTCCAATTGTGATTTCAGAAAGTTGACTAAGCTGTAAGGTAAGTTGCAGCCCACTATGTTACTTTTGCTGATTAATTCTCTGGGTTTTCTCACTTTGCCTATACCGAGCGCCCAGTAAAAATGTGTGATTTAATTTAAACCTGTTGCTGTAAATCTCTGTCCATGCCAGAAGATGGCACCATTGATGGGTCTTTCAGGAAAGCTTTAAACATGGTAACTGATGACTACAGCATGGAAACTGAGCTTCATCTTAAAAGCCTCTGAGTTGAGCAGTGCAAATAGAGTATCTCCTATATTTTTAATGTTGAAGTGCAGTGAACAGAGGACTATTTCTCAGTCTTATTTTTCGTGGTAAATTAATACATTTGAATATGCTTCCGAGTTTGTTTTTTTTGGTCTGATTTTTCAGAATTCCATGTGGACTTGGGACCACCAACTCCATTTATCCCTCAAGATTTTTTTTTGTTTTTCCTTTATTTGTGTAAAGATTTTTAGTCACTAAGCCGCTGCTTTCAGACTGTTACCTACCAGTGCTAGCAACTGACCACTCTCAACATTGTTCTTTGGTAG